TCTTTAAAATGCTACTTGAGAGGCTGAGTAAACTCTGACTCAGTTTTACCATACACATTTTATCTGTATTTGCATAAAATCGTTTGGACTGGATCATGACACAATATGAGCTGAGACAATAGTTGAGGTTTTGGTTTTTCCTTAGTTTTGTTTATTTTGTGGCTTGAGCACTTGGAATTTCACAAGACATGTAACGGAGACTGACACTAGATTTTCATGGGTAAACACATGTTTGTGGCCAAGAAATAGTGCAGGACAATGAGCTGGTAGATCTAAAGAGAAGGGAAAAGCTAAGAATTTAATTTTACCACTATTTTTGTAATAGTGTTCTGAAGTGTAAAAACATTAAGGCTTCTCTTTTTGGACCATCTTGTGCAATGTACTGAATCCAAGAAATTAAATGCTAACAGTGCATTTGTCTTAAGTGTTTATTTTGCTTATACTTCATGAAGGATATTTGCTCATGATCAATGAAAATACCAAGAAAATTCAGTTAGATACTCAGAGCAACTGGAGATCGACACAAAATAGACTCATGCACAGCACAAGGTGGGAGAGCAAAGCATTTCATTTAACTTTCCCTGGTAAATGCTGAAGTATAGTCTCAAAAAGTTTTGCTTTTAAACTTTTCTTTATGTGCTTAGATCACAAAAGAGCAGGAATTTGGTGTAACACTGACTGAACTGGCAGGCGGTGGAACATGCTGGAAGTGCCCTAATCCAGATATAGAACTCTAGTTTAACCTAGAACTCTAAGGTTACCAATCTTCCCCCATAAAATAAAAAAATATCTGTAGAAGTGTTAAGTATTCCACTTAATTCTACTTGGAAGAATCCACATGTGGGTAAATGGGGACCTTGCAGTTGGATTTTTAGTGTTGTGTCATGCATCTGTGGAACTCTGATTTTCATTACAGCATGTTTTCAAACAGTTGCCTCTCAGGCTTCATCTAAAGTTCTGTGCACATTGTAGGGAGTGGCTAACAGAAAACAGCTTGCTGGGGGTCACTAGTACTTTTTGGAAGCCTTGAAGAACCCTTTCTTGGTTAAGAAAGATCATGAAGTGCAAAGTTGTATTTGATAATCTGGAAAGTGAAAATCAATGCAAGTATAAGTATTAAAGATCAGTTCTAAGGAGTCAGTACAGACTGTTGTACTGCAACATTACATAACTGAGGCAACATTTAATAGGGGAAGGTGGCTGGGATGTACGTTTTAAACCCAAATGGAGTCTTTTTAACACTGGAAAATTGGTTCTTAATTCTGTAAACTCATTTGGTCTCATCCACAATGCTGAAGTTCATTTTGGCTGCCCTGAGTTAGGTGAAAAGAATGATGAGAGGTGCTGAAAATCAAGGGACTCAGAAAGACCTGGTCTGATTCCAAGGGGAGACACGAAGGGTGTGTACACAATGAGTAGCACAGGGCAAAAGCCCTGGACATGCTTCTCTTTAAACAGGCTAATTCCTCTAGAGTGTTCAGCTTACTGAATCTGTTACAAAGCTTTCTCTGCTACCCATAGTTGCATCTTGGCCTATTAAATTTTTAGGACTTTGTGCTGAAGGTCTCCATGCCATGGAAGCTGCTTCCTGTGGACCATGCTGGTATTTCATCTGGCTGTGTAGAAGCCCTTCTCAACACGTGTCCCTGAGAGTTTTTCTGTGAATCACTCACTCTCAGTTTTGGTCTTGGTGCTCAGTGGTGTCTGTTTGCAGCCATGGCAGCTCAGTACATGCTCTTTCTGAAGGTAAGATGCAGGATTTCTGAGGATGCCTTTTCAGACGGGTGAGCCAAGTTCCATGGTTAGATGTGGAGCAGACTGGGTGTTCTTTGGCAAAGGCAATGGCAGCCAGGCAGGTTGGCTCCTCCCAGGATCAGAGCACCTTATCAAGCACTAGATCTCCAGAGGCTTGCAGTCTGTCAGAGTGGGCTGTGCAGCTTTAGCTGGCTGAAGGCACCACTTGGAGTATCCCCAGGCAGCCTCAGGTCTCAGCTGCAGGTGCAGAGGTGCTGGTTCTGGCCCAAGCCCTCAGCAGACAAATGAGGATCCGAGCCAGTGCCTCTGTACAGCCTGCTGCTGCTGTTGTGGCACCGTGTGGTGTGACATTGGACTGCCTGCTGCTGGGTGGTAGCTGCAGGTCTGCACAGGATTTGTCATGCTGGACGCCCAGGCCTTTACCACAAAAAGATTATGAAATCCATAAATTTGTTTTTTTGTCTGCTTTTCAAAAGATATGTTTAAGTAAATCCCAAACTGGGATAATAGTCTCTTGCTAGTAGAATTCCTGATAAAAATGAGTGTCTGATGGCAGTTACTTGCTGTGGCTTTGTCTTCTATGCTGTGATGTGTGTGAAAGGGAGGAGACTTAGGTATCCCCATCCTGTTGAAGACCCTAATTCCCTCAGGTCTCTAACAACCCCAACATAAGCAGCTACATGTAGAATAATGGGTCCTGTTTTGGATCCCTCAGCACCAGAGGCTTATGAACAAGCCAGAGAGAGCCCAGCAGAAGACTGCTGTGATAGGTAGGGACCATAGTGTGCCAGAAATGGAGAACTGGATTTTTTGAACCTTGCAAAGAGCAGACTAAGGTGAAGGAAGCTAATCACTGTTTCTGGGTACCTGAAGGTGGAGTCAGGCTCCAGAAGTGTACAGCAAGACCAAGAGACACAGTCAGAAATTGCAGCAAGGACAACGGTAGCTGGACGTAGAAGTGTTTTTACAACATAAAAGTGGTTAAGTTGTAAAACAGTTTGCCCAGAGATATTGGAAGTCTCCCATCAGTTCCCCAAGCTCATGTAGACCAGGCCTTGACCAGCCTGACCTAAGTTACAGACTGGCCCTGCTTGAAGCAGGGTGCTGGATTAGGAACCTCCAGAGCTTCCTCCCAACCCAGGTCATTCTGTGTTAACAGCCTTTTAGCAACTCAGTAAAAATTTTGTGCCTCTTTTTTCCTTTCAGTTTAGAGTTGATTTTCTGAGTTCTGGACACTAGTGGAGCGTACTGGGAGAGACAGATGCTTTTAGGTTGCAGTTTGACAGTCATTAAAGCTGCTGCCATCCTGCTCTTGCATTCCTGTTCCTGTCCCTGCCCTGGCTCTGGTGCTTGTCTGGTACCTGGAGGGAGCTGGTTTCAGAGCCCCAATCTTTCATGAAATTAGATGAGGAAAGAATTCCTCCTAGGTTCTTGATCTAGAAGAGAAGATTGAGAACAAGTGAAGGTGAGATGGCAGAGGTGGTGGCTTAGATCAGCCTAAACAGTTAATGGGGCTGCAGTGCACTAGCTGCCTTCAGAAGTGGTGGGTGTAGGCTTTAGTGCTGAACTCCTGGAGCTGTGATGGCTGCACACAGGTTCCTTCTGCATTCGCCGTGTCGGGCCGCCCCAGGAAGGTGCTGCCAGCAGGGAGTTCTGTAACTCACTCCTACCCCCTGCTCAGGGCTGTGGCACCTTCTGCTCTGCACTGAAGCTCTCCTTGCAGGATCCCCTCCAGATGTGCAGGGGTAACTGGGGCGGCTGGGCCGGGTCACACAGGCTGAGGTTGGGTGAGGTGGGCAAACAGCTCTTGTCTGGAGACCTTGGCAGGAGGGTGGGGATGGAGGAGGCACCGTTTGGTGTTGCCATCTGCACAGCAAATGTTTCTCTGCAGTGTGTGCCCGTTGGGTGGTTGCCTGGCTGGTATAGAGTTTAAATTTGCTTCTGTATGCTTTTAAGTTAACTTGGTTCTTTTTTTTGGAGCTAGGGAGTAGACTTTATGTTCTTGTGAACAAATGCTCTAACACGTTTGATTCACTTTGGCTGTTTTATATTCTGCAAAAGTTCCCTTTGATGTTACGTTTTGTTCAGTGTTATGTTACAGAAGACTGAACACTGGTTAGGCACCATCCATGATGTCTTGGCATTCCTTCATTGTCATTACAAATAATATCTTACCTTTGGTAATTCTTAGATAAAATTGTTCCTTCCACCTTACACAGAAAGATAGGACTAAATTAGGGTTTTTTATTAGACCCCCTGCTATAGTTAGAGAACTTACACAAGGTTTTGAGTGCACAAACCTTTCTTCAAGCCTGAAGTAAAAGTGGAATAGATATCAGCTGAGAACATTTGCTGAGAGCCTTAGGCCTTCTCTGAAAGACAATGGCTAATACATTTTGGGAGCAGAGCATGGGGAGTGTGGGAAGAGAGGCTGAAATGGTTTACATGGTATTTATGTAATTAAACTGCCAAGGCACAGTCCTAATCCTCGGAATATCCTTCTAATTTATCTAAGTGATAGAATTCAGCAATATTCTAAACTTACAGTTTAAAAGTATACTGGCTTCAATCACAAGAACCAATTGGTAAAATTATCTTGCAGATATTCCAAATTTGCCAGTCTTTGTCCCAGGAAGCAGAGGTGTTTTGTGGTAAAAGAGTTTTATCATCTTCTCGTCTTTCTGAATGCATGTTATCTTACTTGGTGATTGTTTTGCAATATCTCTTACCCACAAAACAGTTTCAGTAATCAATGGTTTATCTTGTTTGTCCTCTTGAAAATGCTGTCCTAGGTGTTGTATGTACTTTACCCAAGTTGTTCTCCTTGGCATTTGTGTCATCTTGCAAACTCTAGTTTTTACAGATAGGATGGCTGTGTATATTGCCTGCTAAAATAATTGTGATGTTGCACTGAGTGCCTGAAAAAATGTAGTTCAGGATTATTTATTTTTACTGCAGGAGTGGGATTTATCTTTTAACTTTTGAAAGTCACATATCTAATCTAAGCTAACAAACTAGGCAGCTCCAGAAGATAATTCATTTTCATATCTCACACACTTATTGGGAGAAATAAACCTCCACGTGGGGAGCTTTTCCTCTTTGTTGTTTACAATGAAAATTTAGACAGCAAACTTAGCCAGGTCCCAAAGTTTTAGATGGTTGAAAATACTCCCAGACTTAAATGCTCTTAATGTCTCTTGGATGGACACTTAAAAGTGGTGGTTGTGCTTATATTTTTGTTTCAGATGGACCCTACTAGAATTTCAAAAGAACATGCACACTGTGTCAGAACACTTTTTGGACACCAAGAGAATACAGATTTTCATGATACATCCTTTGAAAATGAAGAGGTGAAGTTGATGCCAGAATCATGTAGAAGCATGAAACAAGCTCTCCAGAGAGCTGTGCAGAAGGTGAGTGGCAGACAGACTCTGTGTTCCTTTATTGTGTGCTGCTGTTGAACTTAGAACAGTTTTTCCAGTGCTGATATTTGGTGGTAAGTTCTGTATTTTCTGGTGTTTGGATAATGCCTGAACCTGCATCCAAGGTCACACTGTATTTGCCCATGAGCCTGGCAGTGAGTAACCAATTCTGTAATAAAACACTTTTAAAATTATTTTTTTTGTAAGAATGGAAGACTTGAAGTTGCCCTGAGAACTGTGGCTGCAGTCGCTTGATTTGCCATGCTGACGTTTGGATGGGCCTGAGTGGTAGCCATTTATCATAAAATTTGTAGTGGATGTTCATAAAAATGAACAGTTCCACAATTTTTTCAAAGCAATCTTCCTTAATATTTTTCTGACAAGATTATTCCAAGTCAGGATCATCAACCAGGGAAATACTGGCTGAAAGACAGGAGATATCCCCAAAATGGGGGACAGTATCTCCTTTTTTTGCTCCATTTGCCAGTTCTGTTCTGTGCAGACCAGTCTCACACTGGCAGAGGGGCTACTTTGCCAAAGCACAGTAAGTGGGCAGTTACTCTTTGCCCAGCAGTTTAATAACAGATGGTTCTCAAACACAAACAGCAAAAATAGTCAGCTAAAGAAGTCAGCCCTAATGAAGAAGACAAGGCAAGCAAGATGTCACAATCACCTTACTGCAGTTACTGCCTTTGACCTCTTTGCATGCTCATTGATAGTGTTTTGTGCTAATAATGGGCTGTTTAACAGCTGTATGTCCACTGTGGTGTTTGGTTTTCCTGGCTTAGCAGATCTGTTACAGGTTTACTTGTTCACATCTTCACAGGACTTTCATAAAGGATACTGCATTAGATCTGAGCTGGACTTATATACACTTCACACAGTGAATTGCACTTGAGTTAATTACATAGTACTTTAATTGTGCTAATGTAATGTTTGCTTTTCACAGAGTACCCCGAGTGACACATCTGTCTGTGAACAAAATAAGAGTTCATCTTTTCCTTTTTTCTAGCCACGACCTTTAAAAACTTAAGGGAAAATAAAAAGGCTTAACTCTGTAGGATTGGCTTTTTCCTCCAGCACCTCAGACACTCACACTATTCCTGCTTCTGTCCCGTGTGCTGGTTCTGGACTGCTCCTGGACTGCCCCTTGGTGCAGCTCTCCTGGCAGAGCAGGGAGCTTGCTGCAGGGAGTGGATGGGAAGCCCTGTGTCCTGGTGATTCACTGCTGGCCACTCAGCAGAGGCCTGAGCTCTTGTCCAGGCTGCATATCCTGCCAGTCTGGGAGGGGGAAATGCTGCAATGCCTGTGGCCAGGATAAGTAGTGAGTAGGGATGACTTTGTTGGCTGATGAACATTGGTTTGAGAACAATAAAATGTCCATTGCCAAAGTAACCAGACTCTAAATGTTTAAATACATGGAGTGTATTAAGCAGTTGCATCAATGTTGTGAATGCTTTGTCATCACATTTTGATGTCACATAGAAAAATAAATATAAGATGCTTGTCTGGGGCTACATTTGCATTTTTTTTTTTGTATATCAGAGAAGTGAAAGAAACAGTCTAAGGCAAAACTATACTTTGTCATGTTCTGTAAGCTCTGCCTTTCATTGGCTGCTAGAGCGGGGGGCAGAGATGCAGCTGAAACCTTACTTCCAGTGGTGCAGCCCTGGGTGTGGGAACCCAGCTGCTGTCCCTTGGAAGAGGTTTCCTCTTGTCTCTTCCCTGTCACTTTCCTGAAGGAGAATCTAACCTCTGTGTTTTGAGAACCAGTATCCTTACCTGAATTGGCAGCATGTTAAGTGACTGAAATGGAACACTTTAAAACACCATTTGTTCTGTGATTTTTCAATATTTTGTCTTTCACAATTCAAGCTGTTCAGGAAATGAAAATAGACAACTTTCTCTTGCCCAGATTTATGGTCTGGTTACAGCTCTTAGCTTCTCTGTGCACACCTGTAAGATGTGGTACTTCAGTCTGAAGCAGGGATTGATGCTGAAAATGGAAGTGCTCTTATGAAAACCACTGTAGTGGGGCTGCAAGGTTGGGTCTAGAATTATTTGTCTCCTATAAAAATAATAAAGAATTTCTTTTAATCAGCATCTAATGGTGAATTCCTTAACACATTCCAGGATACAAATAAGTGCTTAGGGAGAAGCTTACTCAGTAGAAGGCACATTTTCAATATTGCATAGGAACTTTAAAACAGACAAATAATATACTTTCCTTGCCTGTTTGCTTCAGGTTTTTTTTATGTTGCCCTAAACCCCTTTGGCAGTCCAGAGGCATTAACCACAATTCTTGTGAAGTCTGTTATGAGCCTGGAGTAGAGAGGGCTGCAGGCATAAGTAGTGAGTTCATAAGTAGCTCTTGGCAGTAGTCCCAGCCTCTGGCAGCTTGGGGAGTTCAGGGGTGAGCTAGCCTCCTGGGTGGCAGCAGAGTGCTTGGTTGGCCTCCAGAGCAGCACTCACATCTCACTCAGCAGGCACCCGGGGTGCACGTGGGTGTGCACAGAGCCAGGGCTTCACAGGGGACTGCTGGAAGGGGGTAGAACTCAGTTTCCAACCTACACACTTACACGCCTGTTTCTTCTGCTGGCAATAGATGACTCATTTGGATATTAGCTGTAGAGCTGATGTCTAAACTATCTTCTGATGAGGGTACTTTCTATTTCACTTCCTTCCTGATTACCATTCTTCAAACTGCTGAATTTCCGGCATGATGATCAGAGACTTCTTCCTGCTATTAGCTGGATCTGAAGCACCAAGGTAGTAGAAGCAACAACTGCATAAAGAGCTTTAAGATCAGATCTGAAGCAGTGTATGAGTGTCCAGAACTGTTCTCTTCTGACTGGTCTCAAAAGTCTATTTAGAGCTGCTCAGAGTAGCAACTGAGATGATGTAAAAGCCAAAGGAGAGGAAAAACTGTTCACAGATGTCATGTGTTCAGATGTAGCCTTGTCTTTGCATCCTCAGCATTGGATATAAATTGAAGAGCAAGAGTTGGTTTTGTTTTGGAGATGTTGAGATGCAAAGGGTTAAAATCTGCAGCCTGCTGTGGATGAGGAAAGAACAGTCCCAAATTTTGCAGGCCCTAAAAGCATGATTTTAGCTTTTAAATTGTGAAAGTTGGGGCAGCTTCTTCATGGCCTCTTAATTTTTTTGGTGAAGGAAGACACATTTTTAACTTTTTTGATTGGCTGTTTCCTACTGTTTGAACGGTGACTGTATGAAGGAGGTTGGAATGTGGACAGTAGGCCAGCAAAGCTGATGTGGTGGGCAGTGAGCAAATGATGCAAAGCTGTACAACTGCAGCTTATCATAAGACTGACAGGGGTGGGATTTTTCTGTACAGCTTTTCTAAAAGTAGCTGGACAGCCTGGCAGTGCAGCTCATCTCCCTTTTGTTGGAGTGACACTGGCATTAGTGATTGCAGAGCAGCCCAGGGGAGTGCTCCTGTCAGAGAGGTGCCCCTGGGGAACAAGGGGTTAGGCTCAGGACCGTCAGGACAAGGGGTTTGTGTGCCCAGCTCCTCCCGGGTGGCTGTTCTGCCAGGCAGAGGAGCAGCACCACCAGCAGGAGGAGGGCAGCCCCGGGCCACAGCCCTGCCTGGGGGGCAGCCCAGTCAGGCTGCTGGGGCTGGGGGATGAGGTGCCTCTGCTCAGGCCAGGGCGTCTCGGGGGCTGTGCAGGAGCAGAACTTGTGCTCCTGGAAAAAGCTCAGAGCAATTGGCCACTCCAGGGGCTGTGGAGTCACCAGCCACGTTGGGGTTTTTAGTACCAGTTTAGATAAGAAGAGATGAAAGCATATGTAGCTCATTTTTGATCTGCCCAGTAACCTCTCCAGGCCAGGACATGATCACATCCCGCATAAGGAAAGGATATGAAAGTAGACTCCATATCCAAGAGGTTTCCATTAGGAAAGCATGGAAACAAAAGGAGTCTCCCATTTCTGAAGGAAGGGTGGGGAGTGGTGTGGTGCAATAATCTGAGAGTGTGGTCCTGCTTCCAGTCTCTTTTATCATACATCCTGCTCTCTTCAGAGCCTTGTGCCACTTGTTGCAGTATCCAGTACGTGCAGTTCTGTCACCTTCCCCTTCGGATGGGGCTGAGAGCTCAGGTGTGGCTGCAGCCTGCGGGTGCACTCCTCGAGCTGAGCTTCACCTTCGTGCTCCTAGAACTGACACCCAAGTGGGAAGATCAGAGGGGAAGTGAACACACGTGGGGGAGGTGGACAGGAGTTTTGCTGCTTTTGAAGTTGCAATTCTTCTGCTTTTCTTCTCATCTCCACTGCAGAAAACATCTTGATGATTCTTATCTAGGAACTCAGCATAACCCTGCTGAAGCATGATGCTTTGATAGTCATACTACACCTTCCATGCTGCTGTGGCTTTCCATTTTGGTTTAACATTTAAACACTTGCTGAAAGGGGAAAGTGAGAGTAATAAAAGCACAGACTAAGGCATTGCAGGCTTCACTGTGGCTGCACAATTACATAAAAGCAGGAGCTCAGGTGTTTTCAAAGCACAATTTCAAATGCTAAAACCCTGCAGTGGTTGAGAGCACAGGGGAACATTGCTGATCTCACCAGAGCTGAGGTGCATTGCATGTGCATAGTACTGAATCAGACAAAGAGCAATGTGTGATAGAAAGACAAAACAAAGGACCACTCTTGGGTATCAGAGGTGAGCTATGGTTTGCAATCTTCAGCAGGATGTTAACTGTTCACTAAACGTCTTGACGGCTTCATGGTATGAGGTGTTCTGAAGAGTAAGTAAAATATTACCCCTGTTTTTTAGAAAACAGAGATGAAGATATTCCTGGGGGAAGACATGTACAGATGTGAAAGATGCTTAACCCCTTCTGTCCCTCCATACCTTGTTAGCAGTGAGCCTTGTTGATAAAGCCTTGTAGTCTTGCAACCTTCCCTACTAGTGGTCAAGTGTGAAGAGTGGAGGTGTTCATTTACCTCATTGTTTATCCCATCACAAATGAAATTCAGAGCTTAGTTTTCCTTAGTGATTAAACACTAGTCTGTTTGTAGAACTGCCTCTTCCATTACCTTCTGACTCCATGTAATTAAATCAGCTCATGAACTCTGTTGCTGTATCTGATGCATTCTTAGCAGTTGCTGTTCCATTATACCTGGAGATACGTTCCGAGTGCAGTAAGTAGGAAAGTGTCCTGGCACCTTCTTCACTTCAGGCAGTAGTGCAGTCATACACACCATCATTCCTGTCCCCCTTTATCAGAGGTATTGGACAGTGGAGGTACTTTCACTGTGGCAGCTGAACTGTGTATTCATATTCTACATCAGGTAAGTATAAAAATCTGTATCCCAGGCATCCGAATGAACTACAGGGAGAACAACCCCCACGTGTGCATATGTGCAGAGTGTAGTTGTTGTGTAGTGCAGGTAGTTTGCACATTACAAAACCAAGACAATATCAAAGCAATGACTCTTTCTCATTTTAGGAAGTTCAGCGTGTCATGGGAAGAACACCAAGACCAGAAAAAGGTAGGTGCTGGTTTATGAGTAAGAAATGCTTTAGTTCTGCTAAACTTGCCTTTCTGAGGTAAAGCAGTTCTTTTCTCTCTAGCTGCAATGGAGGCACTAGGCATGGATCTGTACAAGAGAAGCAAACCTCAGAAGCAGCCATTTGCCCATCTCATTATTGATGACAAGAATATTCCTTCTGGTAAGTTCAGTTTTAAGTGAATCCTTCCAATGCTACTATAAATGCATTAAACAGTAAAGTATATGGAAACAGTTCAGCAATACCAGCAACAGACTGGGATTTCAGAAGTGGTTTTGGATAATGGGAATAAATTGGGTGTGTTAAAGATTCTCAGAGGCAGTGGGGGTGATGTTAACAGGATGGCTCCCCTTGGCCTCGGGTGTGTTCCCTCACTCTGTTATGTGCTGAATGGCCTCCATTTCACATCACCAGCTTTCAGAACCAAGCTCTGAGGGCTTGGCCTGCCTCTTTGTGCTGTCTGCAAGTGAAGAATGGAGACACACACGGAATGAAGTTCCTTATTTGGCTAGCAGGGCCCACCTGGAGCCCATCACTCACACTGGCCATCAGCTGCAGGTACACATACACACAGGTACATGCATACATACACAAGCTCAGAGGCTGACCAGAGTCCAGATCTTGTGGGCTAGAAGATATTTCCCTGCCCTTGAGTCCAGGGATTTTTAGTCCTGTTGTTAGATGGTGGTTTCTGTTGTAAAATTCAAGAATCTCTTACATCCACTCTTCATCCCTTTACAGCAGTGCTTGTTTTGTGTGCTGACATGTGATCAGGTGCTGGGTGACAGAGCATGTGCCTTCAGGGTGGATCTGGAAGCTGAGAATCTTCTGTGAATATACAACACATGCATGTCAGGTGCCCTTCAGTGTAAGAACTTGCTATAAAGGAAGCACATCTTTCATTCTGAGGTGCTGAAAACCCAGAACTGCAGTCCCAGTGTCACAGGTGTAACTCACCTGCTGGCTCCCTGCCCACAGTGGGTACACTCCACTCCTGGCACAGGGCTGAGAGCAAGTGCTCCCTTCTGCTGATGACATGGGGAACGAGTCTCCTCGTATTGCATTCGTTGTGCTGCTGCAGGGCTGGTGCACACATTTTCCCTGTCAGGACTCCCAGGGCTTTCCTGATGTTCAGACATGCCAGAGCTTCACAGGGGTCTGTCTGCAGCAGGCTGGGATCTTCCAGTGGCAGGAAGGTCTGAGATGACAGCACTGTCCTCTAAGCAGCAGGGTTTCTGGTCAGTGTGCTGGCTCGGGTGCAGTGTGTTTCTGAGCTGTTGAGTAGGGGAAAAAAATGTCCCTGTGGCTTTTGTCTGCCCCTGTGTTAGGAGGATGATATTCTTGTATCTTGCCAGAGCTCTTGCTCTCTACCCACAGGTACCTTTGGATGGCTTTGGGAATATCCTTGCTAGTGCAATATGAGGGAACAAGACATGAGTCTGTCTTGGAATGCTCTCCAGGGGAAAAGATTCATTCCTACAGTTTTAAGATGGCTTAGTACTGTTTGCCTGTGTTGCCCTGGGGTACTGGCAGCTGAGATTTTTCTCTCTGTTCTCTAAACAACAATGATCACTGGTGTGGTCGAAGTAAGCGGGAGTTTATTCTGAAGCTGAGGCAGAGGATCTGAGGGTGGGGGGACATTGATCCACAGTGCCAGTGTCCTGTGCAGAAGCTGATCCCTGCCCTGAGCTGTGAGCAGTGCTGCTGTGTGCTGTGCAGCCCAGCCAGAGGGGAGTGCTGTGCTGGGGCTGGAAACCCCAGCTTCCAGCAGCCTGCCTACTAACACCTTGCTCTGTTTGAGGGCAAAGCACTTGTGTACACAGGGGCTAGCCTCTCACCTGGAGGGACAGGAGTCTGCCTGCCTTCAGGTACATTGGCACTGCCCAGATCCAGAGCTTTATGAGCAGAGAGCTCGGGCAGCTTGCCAGCTGGCACTCAGAACTTCTACAAGCTCCCTTATTAGCTCTGATGCTTCCTGACAAGCTTCTATTTCCATCAGACTTTGGCTTTTGACGTCAGTCAGTAGCAGAAGATGCAGGTATCAGTGAACTGTCTCAGCATGTTGTCTTTGGAAAGATTAACTTGATTTGCCAATCGGAGACAGATCACAACTATCTACAGGAGTGGAGTGTGTCAGTGTCACACTTGGTGAAATCCACCTTTTCCTGTGGGGAGTTTGTCTGCCTGGGTGTTGCTGTGAACTGTGTTTTTGTCAGGGTGAGCAGCTGAAAATTTGCTGTTGCACATTGCTGTATGAACTTTCTAGGGAGTGATGTAGCACATCTGTGGATAATGGCAAGGGAGGTGTTGCCTGTTTGCTCTCTTCCTGTTTTTTTAATAGCACAGGCTGCTTCGATTCTCCTTGGAGCAGATCAACCCCTTACCAATGTGATAGGGTAGATGTACTCCCTCCTGACCTGGCACACGAGGCTTTTGCCTCTTTTGGAAGAGCCTCTCCAGGGTGTTCATCACGAGCACAGCTTCTGCAGTCCTTGTGGTCACTGCAGCAGTGAGGGGCTGCATCCTCCTGGGCAGCTGGAGCCCTGGGCCTGCTGGGTGTGGGGCACTGTGATCCCTGCTGTGGGGCAGTGCCCACTTGGCTGTGTGGCAGGAAGGTTAATGCCAGGCATAAAGGCTGAAGAATTTGCCTGAAGGTCACCAGAATGTTTTTCTCTCCCATGCTGTTTCCTCTGACTGCAAAGGGCAATTTCTATTTTCTTCCCCTGATTCAGACTCCACATGTCTGAAATCCCTCTAAATCGTTTCATGCCATCCACAACTCTAGACAGATCTGCTCTTAGTATTTTAAGGTTCTCTGCTGTCATCCTTCTGACCCAGAATAAACAATGTCAGGGGGAAAAAAAAGTCTTCATTGCTGTGGAACAGGGTTTTATTTGCAGTAGTTTGTCACTGAACACCGTTGTGAAGGGGCACTGAGCAGTGTCCATAAGGGAACATTTCCCTTCTGCCTGATATGCCTGCACAGGAATATCAACCCTCAAATGGGCTTCTGCAGCAGGAGGGGGGAAGTGACCCTTCCCAGATCTTGTGTCCCCACCCATCATTTGGCAGGAGAAGCCATGGTGGTTTGGCTTGCTCTGTGTATTTTTTAGGTTTGCTGCCTTAGGTTAAAGCTGGATGCCTGCTGGTTGGTTTTTACCAGAGCTCAGTATAAATGCTACCTAGCTTTTAAATGAAAACAGTGAATTTTGGTTGATAAATTGATTACAGAAATTAGTCACTGTTTAAAGGAGAAAATCACAAACAGAAAGAAATATTAAATACGTCGTTTGGGATGTGAATTGATACCCTTAGTTGTCTAAGGAAACACTGTAGTATTCTGAGCTATTTACAGCTACAGATTTGACTTAGCTGCCCTTTGCCTCCAACAGTTCTTTGGAGCAAACAGTGCTTGATCCTTCCCTCAGGCATTATAGGTAGCTGGAAGCTACTAGGATGCAAACAAATTATCAGTACAAGGCTTCTTTGTCCTCTGTTCCCTTCCTATCATCTTCCTTCTCAGCAACTAATTTTATTGAAACTCATTTGTATTGGTCTTAGCTCATGCTCACAAATATCCAAGACTTTTTTTGTCTTCAGTTATCAGAAAGACTGTGTATTATCTTGATTTTTTTTATTGTTATACCATTTTTACCATGCCTGGAAGGTTATCTGCCTCTCTGACCTCTTCCTTCTGTATCAACATGACTTACCTTGTGCTGTTTTTTTCATGGCTCCATGGTAAATTTTATCCCATCACGTGCTGTGTTGCAGCATTTCTGACTCTCCCCCAGTTTGGGTTATGTTTCAGAGTTTCTGATACAGGGGTAGCTGGTTTGGCACTTGTATGTTCCATTTCTCTCCTTTGCCTCTGTTTTAGGGTACTCATTGTTTTGGTGTCTCCAGCTCTGGGCGTGTTACCAGCAGAAGTGCTCAGAACCTGCTTGCTCCTTCCACTAAAGGGTGTGTGGCATAACCCCTACCACTGGTCTTTGTGCTGTGCTGCTGGCTGCTCAAAAGAGATAGGGTCATCTTCCATCACCTCTTGGCCTGTCCTTCCACCTGGCTGTGGATGAGTGATGCACATTCCCACCACCACCAAGGCAGTGTGGAGGAACATCACCCAGAGTCACCTCAGTGACAAGTGACTGTGGCACCTCTCTTCTCTTGCCTCTTCTTCAGCAAGCAGTCATGTATTCCCACTGAGGATTTCTTCAGAACTGCTGCTTAATCTTAAGACTGACAACTGAAAAGTTTACTTGGCAGGTAAATACAGCCTGCCCAGCAACTCCCCAGTGTGCCCCCAGTCAGTCACATCAGGCCAGCGTGCCTTTCTGTTCCACCCTAGGGGTACACTCCTGTCCATCCCTCCAGAGTGCCTCTGCTCTCATCCAAGTAGTGATTTCTTCCCTATCCTCCTCATCCTGAAGGTGGGCCTCTTTGGGGCAGGACCTCTGGCAGACAGCACTGTGCACAAGAAGTTCTGCTGCTTCCCCAGCTCTCCCCAGAGCTCCAGAGGTGTACTTGGGTACCCCTAGCTCAGCAGCTTTTGCAGCTGAACAATTCCATGTGAAGAGACTCAAGATCTTGGTGTCGCTTCCAATGAATTTATAGTTTTCAGAAGGTTTTTGGAGGCACTGCAGGGAAGACAGCTTCTCTGTGTGGTCTTGCTTGTGTCATTTCTACCTGGCTGCACTGGAGCCACAGGGGAGCAACTGTTTGTGATCTGCCTTTGACAGCCTGTGCTTTGCTCAGGTCTTTGTGGAAGAATGCCAGAAGCTTTTTGTTCTGGACTAATATTAAAGTATTCCTCTCGCATGCAAAAGCTGCTTTCCCCTGGCACTTAGGGAAGACTCACAGCTCTCAAATTCCCCTGTCCCTACTTCACCTTGCTTCTGTCTGCACAAACAAAGCCAAGAGGCATCATTTTAACTAATCAAATGCCTGAGGCTTTTCCCTCCCCAGCGTGCTGGTGGGCACTGGTGGCTGTGGGGCATGGCTGCAGGGCGTGGAGGAGAGGGCACCACTCTGCCCTGTGCCAAGGGAGGTGTGGGGGGCAGATTGTCCTGCTCTGACCTGGGCAGGGCGAGGGACTGAGTGCTCCTAGCAGGCATTCAGATGCACAGAGAGCCTGAGGTGTAAGGTCCTTTGGTGGCTGCGTGGACCCACTGCTGTGGGAGGGAGCAAAAGGAGCTAGTCTTGTGTGCCAGAAAGGGGCAGTGGTCAGGAGAGCCAGCTGGGCAGCTCTGACCTGCGTGGTGCCCCGTGCGCCACGCTGCGTACCCGGCAGGGCCACGGCCTGGGGGCAACAGGGGCAGGGGCTCTCAGGGGAGAGCTGGTTCCTCTGGGGCTGTGCCTGTGGGCATGGCTTGGGTCTGCTCCACCCCTGCCTGCTCCTCTGTTTGCAGGCAGAGGGTGATGAGGTGGGTGCTGAGGCAGGGGGGCTGGAGGGGACTGCTGTGTGCTGCAGGGCGTGCTTCTCAACAGGCAGTGCTGTGACAGACCTTCATGGGACACACGTGCTGCAGTAGCAGTGCTCTCAGCTGGTGTTGCAGGCTGCTGCTTAGTGCTGTGCCACCAAAAAAAGTGTGAAATGTGGGCCAGGTTTGGAAGGAAGACTCAAGCACTCTCCCTTGGTGCTTGTCTGACCTCCTGCCAGGCCATCTCTTAGCCCAGCCTCAGGAGTAGGATCTCAATGAAATGACATCTGACACGTGACCAGCTTGAAGCCTCCCAGAGATGATCCAGTGTAGCTGCTTGACCCAGGAGGTGCCTTTCAGGGCAAAGTCCTCGGGTGACACTTGTGTTTCTGTGTGTGAGGTTAGCTTTCAGTGCCTGTGGTGACCTAATGAACTAATCAAACACCTCCAGTCCCTCAGCTCTTGTCATTCTCTTCACAGAGCATTCAGTCCCCTTACCAGCTCAGGGACAGCTTCCTGCTCACCAGGCCACTGTCACGGGGCAGAGCTGCACGTGTACCTGTTAGTTCTGTTCATCTCTGTCTGGGCAGTCAGGTTTGGGAACTGTAATATCTGTATTTTCATTCCCACACACGTCATCTTCTAGGGAAAGAAATATAGTTTTCTTTCCTAATTTGTGGATCTCCAGCTTAAAACAGTTTGAAGGGGATTGTTCTCCTCCAAGCTCAGCTCCAGAATATCAGCCTATTGTTTCTAGTTAGAAATCTGATACTTTAAAATAAATAAAAATAAGAAAATTTTAAAAAGCAGTTAGTCCAGAGTCACCTCTGTCTTCCTAAAGCTGTTTTTGTAAGACCTTCCACTGGGTATAAGGCAAAGAGTCCGAGTTTCCCTCCAGCATGTCTGTGCCACTCAGCTGTGGGTGTTTGTGCAGCTCTCAGACAGGCCTGTGCTGGGACTGGGCAGGGCTGTGGGGCCTGTGCTGGG